TCTGTAGAAAGACGGGCTTAGGGCGCACGTACCTTTGACGAACCAGACTATTTGGTCGCAACTGGCAGAGTTTCCCGATGAGAAACGAGGGCGATGTTGCGAAGATTGGTTATCCTTGAGCGGAAGAGGGTGTAGTACGGATCCGTTGCGATAGAAACAAGAATGGGTACGATGCACGATCCGGTCGAATGGGCAACACTAGCTGCGCTGTTGCCTGAAAGTGCGAGCGAAGATGAAGATGTGAGGGGGCTTGGGTGGGGGGCCTGTTGCTTCCTTTTGTCCTTTGACAAAGACTGAGAGCTAATATGGTTCCACTTTGCTCCGAAGAGTCGAGCGATGCTTGGACTGAGAGATGGACAGACTCGACAAGGTTTACCAGAGGTGTGTTGATTGAGATGCTACTTGCCTACACTTTTCAAAAATCAAGCAGGAGTGGTTCTTTGGGGGGGGGGGGGGGGGGGGGAGAGCGGCTTCGTTCGAAAAAGAAAAAAGAAAAAAGAAAAAAATCTGGAACGCTGACCGGGTCAGGGGCGAGGTTGATCCTTGAAGGGACACCAGGATGGTGTTACTTGGCAACGCCAGGTTTCGAGGTCGAAAGAAGGGAGTGTGGAGAAAGAAGGAAGGATGATGACCTCTTGAGCCAGGGCTTTCAAAGCACACGAGGCTGGTGGAAGGAGAGGGTGGGTAAAAGAACGAGGTTCAACCTGTGCAAGCGTACGTTTGAATGAGGGAAGGAAGGAAGTGGGATGGTGGAAGAAAGGGTAAGAGAAGAAGCTCAAGGTTGCGACAGCTGTTGTCTCTCGCTGGCAAAAGATGCGTGGCTGAAGTTGTGATGAATGAGACAGCAAAGCCAGAGACAGCATAAAAATACAAAATACAAAATCAGAGCTTACAGGCGAGTCTAACGCGGATACGAAAGGTGAGCAGCGAGCCAACAGCGCCAGAAGCACCTCGCAGATCCACACAAGCACACAAGCACACAAGAACACACGCACGGCGTTCCATACACGCACACAAAGCAATCCAAAACTCAAGCTTGGTTGATTGATACTTTGGTGCCTCGCTTCGAGATCATAGAATCGCCTTGTGTAAGCAGAATGGCCAGTGGAGATCGACAAATTCCGGGAAGGCAGTGGCAATGGTTGAGCTGTTTGACGACGATTGCGCTGGGGACAAGCCGACAGGAAAAGGGCTGCAGCTGCTAACGGCCAGCCAACCACAGACAAGGTCGTGTAACTTGCAGCAGAGCACAGAGTGTCATCAATTCATCGAGGAGCGGGAAGGAAAGCAGCACAACAACTCGATCCTCCTTGCTTGCTCTCTTCACTCTCGCTTGCCTATGCTCGGTTGCCATCCCGACCCTTTTCCTCATTTTTATTCCCACGCAACTCGCTCACTTCGGCTCAATGCCGAACGACATTCTGAGGTGTCACACAGTAGCAAGTCTGTGTGAGATGGTGCCCTTGTTTTGACTCCCTCTCTCATCGTGATAGGCAAGGCTTTGACTGCACTGCAATGCGAACAGCTGTTGACGAGAAATGTGAGGTGGCTCTTCAGCTAGGCTAGAATCACGAATACCTTGAGTTTGCCAAGCTATGCAACTTTACCTGCGCGCCTCGTTGTCGGCTTGGCCACGCTGGCGTCTTGAGTCTTCTGACCCTTCTTTGGCGCGTTTCTCGGCTAGACACCTTGGCTTCTGCCTGGGTTGGAAAAGAACACGACAACGCTCTCCAACTGCGCGCAGCTCCAATCCCTTTTGAGATGCTGCACCCTTCTTTTCCGCACGGCCCCTCATCGAGATGGCATCCAATCGGCTCTCCCAGCCATCGTCAAATCGGGTCATCGCATGTCGAAAATAGACAATCCAACATGGTGATGTAAGCAGACATGAGGCGATGCGAGAGAGATCGGGCGTAGCAGACCTGATCGGAGATTAGGTAGAGACGATCTCGCCAGGGATCGGATACAACCTGGTCCCGCTCGTTGTCAGACATCATCATTAAGTAGAAAGCACCCACACTCGGTATCAGCCTCAGAGATGTATATATATCAAGCTGAGAACACTAGGTTCTCGCCATGTTCATCTAGTCAATTGAGTATACATGTTTCTGTCTAAACCAGCAGTGACATCGTACTTAGACTCTCCCCGATCGCCAGTTATCGGGACCCAAACGTCTTCACTTTTCAACATCGCATTCATTCATTGTGCTGCCCAAAGCTCTTCATTCAGGAAAAAAAAGCAGACTAGCTTGAGCTCATCACCATAGTGTTTAATTAGAGAGATTGGACAAGGCATATGCTGCTCTGACAGAGGACATTGCAGGGGAGAGTATGAACAGATTGCCACGGACCATGTTGGTGTTTGAGGACAATCGGGTAAGTTTCTAATTTAGCCGGATACCCCTCATTCGGGTCGTCATCGTCGTTGAGCAATAGCACCACCATCATACTAAGCAAGAACACTTCAAACTTACACGCAGAAACTGTACGAGACGACGGGAGAAAGCAGATGAGCTGCGAACAGTGAGGGTGATGGGCTCAGACGAGCAGAGCGCCGCCGACGATGACACCAAGAACAGCAGTGACACCAAGCGCATAGACGTTGATCATGCCAGACGTGGAAGTAGCACCGCTCTTGGTGCCACTCGATGAGCCCGAAGAAGAGCCGCCGCCGCTGCTGCTGCTGCTGCTTCTGCTGCCGGAGCCGGATCCGGACCCGGACTTGGACGAGGCAGAAGGCGAGGCGGCAGCCTGCTGGTTCCAAGTGTAAGTGACACCGCTAGCAGTAGGCGAGGCGACAGTGCGGCAGTTGGACGAAGCTGGAGCGGCCACTGGCGTAGGAGTGACTCTCATACCCTGCCTGAAAGTGTAGCTGCTGTTGTACACGCCGATGGGCAGATCAGCATCGGCGTCGCAGTTGGTGAACGCTTCAGGCTGGTCATAGTCTCCCGGCTGGTTCCAAAGACATCCCATCATGTCGTACGTGTTCTTGCAGTACTCGTAGTTGGGGCACATGCGCATACAGAACAGGGGGCTTCCAGGGATATCGCATGCTCCGACGAACTGAGTAAAGTAATTCCCGTTTCGCATCGTCACTCCTACAGGGTTGCCGACACCCTCCGCACCTTCCGAGTCGTACTCGCCACCGCAGTCGTTGTTGCCGAGATTCATCACAGCGGGGTCGTACACGCCTGAGATCTGCACATATTGAGGTGTGCGACGGAAGTGGGCCGTCTTGATGAAGCCGTCGGGCATGGGTCGCGTTCCATTGGTAGGGTTGATGCAGTAGGCGACGGCGATAGCTTCAGCATCTACCACGTTATCCTTGGTCGGATCAGGAGGCATGAGCAAGCAAAAGTCGCTGGCGCTGTTGATGTTGATCGTTCGACCCTCGCCGTCCAAAGAGGGTGGTGTCAGTCCGTCGGAAGAAGCTTTGGGCGTCCAGCTACCGAGGGCAGCAGTGCGAGTGAGACTAGGAGCGGACGGTCCATCACCGCTGATGATTGAGGTCGAGGACTGGGCCTTGACAAGACCGACGAGCGCGGCTGTAGCCGCAGCGAAGTCACCGAAACGCATGTTGCACGAGTCAGTGTCGAAGGATGAGGATCGACTCGAAAGGAGAATTGAAGTTGGTTGGTCGTAATGGGCGGTGGTTGATAAGCAAGGTCAGTGAGGGAGGACCAATCTGAGGAGACAAAGATTGAGGAAGTGGACTGACTATTCGGCATGCAAAGGAGAAAGGGACGCAGACATCAACCTTCTGCGCATCCGTCGGGGCCAGCAAGTTTCAAATCTTGTCAGGGCTTGGACTGCTTCACACGGACGTACCAACGGCGATCTCTCAATAGAATGAACGTTCAGGGTCCTGCTCCTTGTCCAACATCACGGGCGCTCATGTCCGACACAGGCTACGCCAACAATGGCATTTACGGATATAAGTCCGCGAGAGAAGTGCGACAGAACCAATTGCTGCAATTTCCAGCTAACAACGAGTTGAGGAAGGCGAAGCGCACAGGGGGGCGGCATTCCACACACACTCTCCTGTGCACAATCCTACAAACGGGGCCCAGAACAGCCCTAGCCGAGCGAGCGGAGGTGTTGTGTCTGGGCCGTCGGTCCAGAAAAGCCATGGCATTCGGCCCTTCATCTTCTCTTCCTCTTCGAGTCTCCTCGTTCAACTCCGCTTCACGTTCTCCTTCACTCTGCCTCCTTTCTCCTTTCATTGTTCCCGGTCGTCGAGTGTCAGGAGTCGGACGTCGCCACTCGTCGACGGCGCTCACTGCGTCGGCCATTTAATAATGAAGCTGTACAACGATCGGTCGCATTCAACCGAGCTTATGCTACAACTGTAACTCAAAGCTGAGGCGCGGTGAAGAAAGGTGAGTTTAATTTTGGTCGTAAGAATTCCTGCGAGCTCGAGCTGCATAGAACGACAGAGCGTGCGCATCCATCTGAAACATTGAAAAGTTAAGCGACACAAAAAGAACACTTCTGAACCCTGAGTCTATTGTGTTGTCATGCCACGGGCCGTGGTCGAAGACAAAAGGACACGAGCTCATACCACCCTCAGTCGAGAAAGGTTCGTCTCCTCCGCCGGTCTGTCCTCAATCTCGGCAGCCTCTTGCTTCACCTTTTCATGGCATGTCACATGTCAAAGGAGGCCAACGTCTTGACTGAAGGACAGAAGGCTGAGCTCAACGATAGGATGCAATGCAGGTCGAGGCAATCAGGAATCATCGAGCATGCTTGCTCACGAGTCCAGACACCGACATGGAGCTTTGCCACCTTGACATCGTCGTGTAGCTCCCTGCGCTCTCAGCAGCAGCGATCAGGCTGAGCTCTTCGTCAGTGTAAGCTAACTGCAGCTTTACCGGACCAATCTCGGTCGCAACGTCGGATGAACGTCGGGAATCAGTTGCTTCGCATTAAAGATGAGTTTCAGCGTGGAAACGATATGCAGGGCATTATAAAATTCTCGTTTAGCCTGAAAAACAAGACAGGACGCTTTGGTGGAGTGGTTAACACGTATCCCTGCTACTTTGTTGAAAAGAGCAACCAGCAAGCGCTGGGGGAAGGATATCCTCTTTGAGGGCGTGAGTTCGAATCTCACAGGCGTCGGAACAAATTTATTTTGGTCGTGAAGGGCCAAATTTTTGCCAACGACATCAAGGTGCCCCCCCCCCCCCCCCGCCATACGACTGCCGACGACGAGAGGACTATCCCTCAACCTTTTTTTGGGCAAGTATTGACCACACCTAAGTTGAGCTACCATCTCTGGAAAATTGGGGTGCCTGCTTGTCGGGCAAAACGTCAATCTCGACCTCTGGAGGTGTCGACAATGGTGTTGGCCTTGCTTGTCCTGACCGCTGACCCGTATCGATGCCTGACGCATGCCGCCAACCCGAATTCGAAGAAGAGAATGTAGACAGAATCAAGACCTATCCCAGGACCGAAGCTGCATTGGCGAAGATCTTTTATTGCAAGAAGAGCTGTAATCGAACACTCGCTACCCCCTCTCGCGCACCGGTCCCGACAGCAATCCATCCCTCCAACTCGATGGCAGCCTCACGGCCACCATCAACCAACCCAACCCAGCAAGAATTATGCGGTCGACTATGCCCATTCCCAAGTAAACACATAATGTCCCTTTCCAGGTTGACGCAAGATCGGCTGCCCAGACTGTTGCCTTCAAAATCCATGAACGACAGGTTGGCAAGATCTGGGACATCTGGAAGGTTGAACATGGCCTTCCTGCAGAATTTTCTGACAGCAATGGCAGACGTCAATACTCGTTGGTAGCTGCCCTGGTGCCTACCGCGCTCCCTTCAGGCAAGATTGCTGCCACCACCATCATCAGCATCCCCGGTTACATATCCCTTCACCGCAAACACTGTCTGGTTAAGTTTAATGGTCGTCCTGACTGGTGCACTCGCAGCAAGAGCGATGCCCAACACTTCCATGTTTTCGGCCAATGCCAAAAACTGGAGTGTTTTCACTGCAAGGACTTTGGTCACACCGCAGATAAATGTCCTAAGAAGCAAGCTGAAGCACTTGCGAAGCCGGCCGAGAGACCAAGCAAGCGAGCCAACGCAGCAATCTAGAGGGGGTATCAAAGTTTTTGCGTTTTTAAAAACGCGGGTTTTTTGAAAAGCGCGTTTTTGGAGGGAATCTGAACCCCCCAAGGGAAAGCGGGTTTCCAAAAACGCGATGAAGTCATACGGCCGATAAGAGACGTAACCTAACAGTAAGCATATGTTGCTTGTCCTGCTCTCGTTGCTATCACCCATTGCTTGTTTATATCTTGCTTTCCTCTTCACACAATGCACTCAATGTAATGTTTCATATGGTGGTAACAAGGGTTGTATTCAACTGCAGAAGAGAGAGTCCCTGTCAGATCGAGAATGGTTGTGTCAAGGCTCGCTCCCATCTCCTAGCTGAAGCGCTTTGAGTCATGGCATTGTAGTCCACAGTAGTCTTCTCATGACGTCGAGACAATGCAGTAGTGTCTTCCTCATTGCACCCAGTGGATCTGAACAGTGCCTGGAACATTTCCTCTCGAAGATCATGTGCAGCAGAACTTCGAAGTCTTGACACTGCATACTGTGACATTACTTGTGTTGCAGTGGCAAGGTCCAGTTCGTATTTCTGCTGATTTGTGCATCTTGTCCTCCTGAGCTCTTGTGTATCACTGGCATCAAGTTGGAGGCTTTGAACAACCTCACTCACCTCATCCTCAGAGAAAGAGGGCAACAGCAGGTCGGCAATATCAGCAGGACAGTCATATCGACTCGCAAAGGTGTGTGCGACAATGCAGGCTTGGATCGTCTCTGCAGTGGTGATGCGGTCCTTGACATGGTAGATGTTACCACGATAGCCTGCAAGGCACTGGAAGCGGTTCTTCAGGTATGCAATGGCATGTTCAACCCATACTCGGACTTGAGAGAGCATGTAGTTGAAGTGTCGAAGGTCTCGACTCATGTCAGCGGCAATGTGAGAGAATGGCCCAACTGTGATGGCAGAATGGCCATATCCGCCATCAACCCAGATGAACTCACCTTCGTCAAGGTACAGGCAAGGCTTATTGAGGATGTTGCTGCCTGAGGCCCAAACCTTCGAATCCTGAACACTGCCAGGCTGTCCAACAACTGATTTGACAATCCGCAGTGAGTGTGGCAGGATCACCAGTGCTACATTGATGCTGTGGAAGCCTTTGTAGCAGAAGTGCTCTCAACTGAGCACTCCTGGCTTCCAGGCAAGAGGGATGTGTGTGCCATCGACCACAAGCCAGCCCTTACCCCACTCTTCAACCCCAGTTGTATTGCACACCCAGGCAGCAGCATGTTGTCTCTCTCCCTCCGAAGCAAACTGCATGACATCATTTTTTAGCTCGAGGAGGCCAGCGACTGTGCAATTGGTGTATCCAACAATGCTCCCAACACTGCAGCCGCATTGCAAAGCAGCATCACATTTGCCACCTCCATTTCCAGAACGGCCTAGTCTGTACAGAGCCACCGAAAGGATCTCTTGCACTCTGTTGAGAGGCATCATGTCATGGGCCTGAATGCACAGGTAGCAAGAAGGCTGTTGGTTCGTATGGTAGGAGCATAGGTGTCAGGGATCAGGCCGATCCACAGAAGAGTCGACCATGGCAGGCCATGGTCTAGGTGTGGACAAGGAGATGCTAGAGACTTAGCTGGTACCCGTAGTAGGCATAGCCGGAGTGCAGTCTCCATGGAGACCATGGACACGGAGGACTAAGCCCATATGCAAGGAGGTCCAAGCACCGCCACAAGGAGGACCGAGCTCAAGGAGCATGCAGACGGTTACCACTCAGGGGCTCGAGAGACAAGAGTCAAAGGAACCGTCACCGGTCGAAGGAGGAGGAGCAGTGTATAGGAGACTGGCAAGCAGGTCCTGAGGAGGAGGAGCAGTGTCGAAGGAGCTGACATAGCTCGAGGAGGACAGGAGTGGTGCTAGAGGGACCCCCTGTACAGTACTCGACGAAGAGGGTACTCTCTGGAGAGAGAGCAGGAGCAGTGTCGCTGGCGATGCTGTGAAGAGGTATATAACCATGCCTTCTCATCATCAAAGGTCGAGTGGATCCTCATCCACTCTACACACTCACCATATTAACTAGTTATCACTTCAAGCATAAGTATACATTAGTTACAGTCAGCGCAGTTGCAATCTACCAGGTTGCCTCTCATTGTAGTGTGTGTGTTGTATCACCACTACCTGACGTCCGAAGGCGGCCCATAGCAGACCAGCGGTCCGGATATAGATAAAACCGAAGGCAGTAGTCCACTGCGGTCCGGGGATCACTTCAAGCATTAGTCAGCACACTGGACACTCGTGTTGATGCCACCGAATTACCACCAACGCCACCAACCTTATCACCAACACCCTCAACCTCATCATCATCACCACTGACTTCACCATCACCTTCGTATTGGTAGTGATCGTGCCGAGCCACCTCTGAACGGAGTGTCCACAGAGGTCAGCCGAAACCTACGATAGTATATACAACGGACGCCACCCGCTGTCCTCACGCAGCTTGATAGTCACCGAGTATCTCGACAGACCGACCTAGGTTTCAGGGGCGAGACCCCTGACACATCACACCTGAGCTGCTGTAGTTCCACTGGAAAGCCTCTGTTTGCTGGAGTCGGATGGCGAGATAGTTGAATGCTTCAGGGGACATGCGAACAAGTCCACGATACATTTTATGATTGCTTGATTCATACCTGTTGAGAAGGTGGATAAGCTTATTGGTGCAGCCCAGAGGATTGTAACGTGTGATTGTGTACCTTTGCTTGCATATGAAAGTGTACAAGCGGACGAGGTGTCATGAGAGCGGAAGTGGGTCACCATCGTCTTCCAAGTCGTCGATGTCAGTGCTGCAGGAGTGCTGCACTCTGTCGGCGTTTTGTTCGATCTCCGCAGGTATAGAGAGCTCAAGAGTGTGGACAATGTCGTTCAGAAGGGCTTGCTTGTCACTGTAGTGCACCATGGCTGGAAGGAGAAGGAGAAGGAGGATGGAGGATGGAGAGGGAGCATGAAGAGGGAGGATGGCAACGAGAGCATTGCAGAAAGGTTGCAGAGTGTAGTGGTGGTAGTAACAGAAGAGGTGTGAGAGTGATTTTTTTTGTTTAAATGCTTTGGAGCTCATTACTGGACTGTGCTGTGGATCAATTTTATTCACCTCATACTCGCACTCTACAGAAAAACATTCAGATATGACTTCGCATTGAGACTGGATGATGGTACATGTAATGCTACAGGGCAGGAAGATTGAATGATGAGTCCGTGTTGTTGTTGTTGCTGGTGTTCTGACGAGCATCCTGTTCACTGTCAGGGGTCGCGCGCCCGAGGCCTGGGTCTGGTGGTAGTACTGGTGCTATACTGGTCTCGGCAACTATCGAGTTGTGCGACAGCTATCGACTTGTGCGACAACAGCTCGGTGGCATTGGTATGAAGGTTGTATGCTATTGCAGGTCTCGGCTAACCGCTGTGGACACTCCGTTCAGAGGTGGCTCGGCACGATCAATATCAATACGAAGGTGATGGTGAAGTTGGTGGTGTCGATAAGGACACCAAGGTCTGGTGTGAGTGGTCTTGTTGATGATGAGGTCGATGGCGTTGGTGATGAGGTTGGTGGCATCGGTGATAAGGTTGGTGGCGTCGACACGAGTGTCCAGTGTGTCGACTATCGCTTGAGGTGATCCCTGGACCGCAGTGGACTACTGCCTTCGGTTTTATCTATATCCGGACTGCTGGTCTGCTATGAACCGCCTTCGGACGTCAGTGAGCGGTGATACAACACACACACTACAATGAGAGGCAACCTGGTAGATTGCAACTGCACTGACTGTAACTAATGTATACTTATGCTTGAAGTGATAACTAGTTAATATGGTGAGTGTGTAGAGTGGATGAGGATCCACTCGACCTTTGATGATGAGAAGGCATGGTTATATACCTCTTCACAGCATCGCCAGCGACACTGCTCCTGCTCTCTCTCCAGAGAGTACCCTCTTCGTCGAGTACTGTACAGGGGGTCCCTCTAGCACCACTCCTGTCCTCCTCGAGCTATGTCAGCTCCTTCGACACTGCTCCTC